TAGAATTGATGAGTTTAAACATAAGTATAAAGGTATGTGTCAATCAAGATATATGCAAGAACAGGTTTAATGATTAATCAGATGGAACATTGTGGGTGTGGGGTAAGAATGTTAGTACTCTGTAATAATTCTTTAGTATATTACTTGTGTGGCATAAAAGATAATTATCTATGAATGTAATTATGTAGAATGTTAACACTCTGTAATAATTCTGTAGTATATTACTTGTGTGGTGTAGAGGATAATTATTTATGTGGAGATATTTCTTAGGACTTAAAAGTTGTAAGATGATGTCATGGGGTAGGACTAGATAAGTCTAACTTCTTCCTACTCCGTTCAAGCATGTACTAGGTATAAGTAAATTGATATTGGATTATTATTGTTGGATATGTGTGAAATTACATGTGTTGACATATCAACTGTTTTACATGCTTGAATGAATAAATCAAATCAAATGTACGAAAACCGAATCATATGAAAAGTAGGGCATAAGAAAACTGAGGTTCCACTGTACTGGGTTTTGAGATGCTTTTATTTACTTGCAACAGCACAACACACATCTACTGTGTACGACGTGTGTTAAAACCCATTAGCTTCTACACCAGTTTTCAGGTTTTCACCCATCAACTCATCAGAACATGTGTAGCAACAACTAAATCACATTCATTCCTCTGAACCCTCATCTGACTGTGTGACATGTCTGGTGTGCTCTGTGTGCGTCCATTGATCCATGAATGATACAGCCTTGTGTGTTGTACTTTAGCCTTTAGTGAATTAACCACGTGAACAATTACTGGATTCTGAACAGGAGATGTTATTTGATTAAAAAATTGTTTGGCTTATGTGCTCAGTTGCAGTACATAGATGATTAATTCTGTATGTTTTTGTTTTGTTTTGTTTGTTTTTTTAACAAACATACTGCTGTAAAACCATGATTCTGTCAGAGTCTGAAACCCTTGTTTCCTGACTTTCAGTTTGTATTAACTGTCACATTACCACATTCCTTGGCTTTTGACTCCTTACCCGATTCCAAAGGAGAGCTGCACAAGAATTCCTATATGCCTAGACTGTCTGTTTATGCATAAATGGCAAATAAAAATCTTGACTTAACTTGCTCAGCACAGCAAAATCAACTGCTGCAGATCCAAAAGTATTTGGACTGTGTTGTTTGTTTCCTGTTATACTTTGGGATTTATAATGGTCACACTTGGGAAAAACCTTTAATGGGAATCCAAGTCATCACAGACAGTTCAAAGTCACAGAGATGTGCCAAAAAACATTCTACCTGTGTCTGGAGATGTTTCACCAAGGCCTACCTGCCGTAAAGTCTCCAGTTTCTTTAGCTGCTCGTTGTAGTTGTCTGGATTCTCTCCATAGTTCTTCAAGATGAACTACAGGAGAAGAAACAGAAGCAACAAATAGGTAAATGTGCAGCTTAAAATCTGATTTTGTCACTACTTACAGCAAAAAAGGCTGCTGAGGTTAAAAAAATAAAGAAAGAATATTTTTAGGGCTTTCTGTCTTTAGCAACAGAGTGATATTTAACATTATCTCACATACAGGATGACTGCTTAAAAACAAGTTTTTAATATCCCCTTCAAAACTGTAGCTAAAAAAATCATTATGCATAGTTTTAGTCCTGAGCAGAGGTAAACAGGCCTGCAGCCATACTCAGTCTTTTACTAGTGCTTCTGCATGTGCTTTATAATTATATCAGGGAGGCAGAGATGTCCCACTGCACTGGAAAGATGCCCAGTGACACAGCAACAAGACAGGGACTGTCCTGCTTTGACTTCTACAAGCCAAAAATGTGCTACTCTTCCTTTTGTCCACTGTAAACAAATGGAATTGAGGCTATTTAAGGCATAATCCTTAATAAACTAAGTCAGCAACACTAATTTGCCAATAAGGAATTCAACCTTTCACAAGATATAGTTTGACTTGTTCCAAAGTGAGATCTGGTATAAGGACAAAGAAATGTCACCTCTAAGGGAAAGACATCTGCATATAAATTTGTTTAAATACTGCTTTATGAATCTCAGTTAGCAGTTTCACACACAGAGAGAATTTTAAATAAATGTGCTGATGTGGGCAGTCCAAAATATCTCAGAGGATTATTGAGAGGAATACGAGTAAACCCTGAGGGCAAAGATCTGTTTTATCTACATCAGGAAGGAAAATGGGTCATCGGATAAAGATGAGTAAATGGTAAGAAGCATTTGAATGATCAACATTCTTTCTTGTAACTATATGACATACTTAGAAACAATATGCCTCCAAATGTATTATGTACTATATTCAAGTCATGAAATTTAACATTCCAACGGTGACACGCCTTTTTATTATCATACTTACAGTAAGTCTGAAGTGACCATACGTCATGTTGCTGTGTCATTATGACAGACAGCTTTTTAAATATGACCACAATTTCTAACAAGACTATGTATCGTGTTTTATTTTAACAGTTTTTAGCTACAGAACTAAATGTCATCTGTAGTCCTTTCATATAAGAAAATTACTTCCGACATCAATAAGACATTGACCAATAAATGACAGACACTAAACATCACACATTATAAAATCCTAATGTTAAAATAGCATTTAGATAGTAATAATTTACATTGCAAATAAACTGCATTGCACACCTAAAGTACAAATGTATCAGGATGTCACTAAAATGCAAAGTGCTCTGCAACAGAATAGTGTGATAAACTACAAAAATGCTCAGTGACCACATACTTGGCATTTCTTTAACCAGGTGTTCGTCTGTAACTTGTATTGTACAATGCTAGTTGGTTACATGTTCCAGATGTTCGCAGCTCTTATTGAAAAAGCTGAACAACCAAAATCTTTGAATCTGTCCTATGACACAATCACCTCTTGAGATGTTCTTGTTTGCGCTGTGTTATCTGAGTGCAATAACACAAAGTCTTTCAAAGGTGATGTTGCAAAGTGGTTAACAGTTTTATACATTAAACAAGAACTCTAATTAACAAAGTTATCAAAAGTAAACCAGTTGTACTGTTTAATCATGTGACAACAATGACATATTTTTAATCAAATATTATATAAGACCGAACAACTCTTCTTTGCATACAAACACATAAACACCATACAGTGTTATTCAATCCCAAATCACTAAATGAAGACTCATAACATTTAACATCTACATTTCTTCTTCTCTTTTGTGTTAAGTCTTCCATCTATGTACTCATTAGTTTTCTATTTTATATGGTTGCCTACTACCAACTTTCACTGATTCGTGTCTGGAAAAAGTATTTTAACGGGTATATCGCTATGTTCACTCAGTAACCACTTTTTACTTTCTGTGACAAATACAGTAAAATGGTTTGAAAATAAAACAGGCAGCTGGCGTGATAGTTTGATATCACTTTGCCATGAATCCTACGTTTCCGGAGAAGCTGGTGCATGTGACAACAAGCTCACTGTTTATTATTATCGTGTTGACAGACTGACTGGGCCGTGAGAAGCCACGCTCGTTACTTTAGCAGGGTGCATCTTTGCCTTTGCCACTCAGCTGTTTGGTTCATTTGTAAGGGGTTAGCCACCTGCTAACGTTACTTTAGGCTGGATTTGAGCTTCTGGCCTATTATTGGCTAGCAAGAAGCTAACGTTAGCAAACAAAAGGCGGTGGTTACTCATGGGGTTGCCTGAATCAAACATTAGCTAGCTGGACGGCTACCCGTTCTGGAAAGTTCTCATATTCCCGAAAAGCAGTGACCGCTAGCAGTTAGTTTAAACGGTGGGTAACGTTAGTATCTCTGTTTTGTTATTATCCCGTCCATAATCATTGTTGGGTTGACTTTCGACCTCAGCCCTGTTGCTTCATTCCCCCCACCCAACACACCTGCCTGACGGACGGACTGAACTGGAACTCCCCTGCCTCCTTTAGATCCAGCCAGATCATCGGCATCCGGGGAACCGCTTCCATCGCGGCCGACTTTACACGGCACTATCAGCCGGTACGATACCAAAACCACGGCGGTAGTTTTGTAGACGTTAACGATTTGCCTGAAGATAGCTTTTCTCCCAAACAACTGTGTCATGTATCCATTTAGCTTAGACTCTAATCGGAAGTTCCTTCTTCTTCTTCTAATGGTGTTTATTGTCGGTTTGCAAGTCAACCTAAGGTGTATTAGCGCCACCTGCTGGGCTGGACTGTGGAATGATAATAGAGCCGTAGGAATATACATTTATAGAAATGGGGGAAAAAAAAATTTTGAACTGCATAAACTACTAAATTCTATTCAAAATACCTATATCTGCCAAATAACTAATAACAACCCTATATGCTTCCTAGGCCTTCCTAGGGAGGTGTTCCGGGCATGTCCCACCGGGAGGAGGCCCCGGGGGAAGACCCAGGACACGCTGGAGGGACTATGTCTCTCGGCTGGCCTGGGAACGCCTCGGAGCTGGAGGAAGTGTCTGGAGAGAGGGAAGTCTGGGCATCTGCTGCGCCCGCGACCCGGTCCCGGATAAGCGGAGGAAAATGGATGGATGGATGGATGGATGGAACCCTATATGCTGTCTTACAATTGCTGCCCAATAGACTCTCTAGTGATATATTAATAATCTTCTTTTTTTCCAGTAACGCTATCATTCGAGCACATTGCTCATTTTAAGCATTGCATATGAACAGGACATGCTCTACAGTCTCTATCCGACTACAGTGTGGCCAAAGACCTGTCAGGTTTTTACCTATTTTGTGCTGGGTATAATTTAAACTGGTGTGACCTATTCTCAAGTGAGTTACTACACGTTCCTCTTTTCTAGTACCAGTCCATGCCTCTTGGTTTCCAACTAATTTTTGCACCTTATACAAATGTCTACCTGTTTCACACCCATCCCAATGTTCTTGCTAAACTTTTTGAACATGAATATTAATCAGGGATTTCATTTCAAATCTAGAAAATGGGACATGCCTGGTAACTGTATCGAATTTTAAATACTGTTTATCAGCAGCATCAGCCTCCTCATTACCATCAATTCCAACATGAGCTGGAAGCCATAAAAAGCTAACTGTGACATCCTTCTTATTCATCTTCCACAAGGACACGAATATCTCATTTAATATGTCTTGTCTTGTCTCAGATATACCTGAGTTAATACTAGAGCCGAAGAATTATCAGAACAAAGTAATGCCAAACTTTGGATCCATCAGTAAATATCATTAATTTATTCTTGTAATATCGATCTATAAAACCCACCACATAGGTCGATGTAGGAACATGAAGTGTTTTGTCTTTCAGTTCCATAATAAGGCCTATATTCACCAGTTGCCTAGAAAACAACCAAGGCGGAGTCTCCGGCCATGAAACAGTTGGACCATACTTCAAATCAAGCAGACCTACTTTCTGGACCATGATATTACCCACCCATCCAAAGCTATAAAAGTTAGACTCATTGTGTTCCCAGCACTCCAGTAATATTGATTTAGCAGGATGGGGACTATCATGACCCTACAGACTCCAACCAGAAGCTGGGAGCATACGTCAAGTAAACTCCCGAAACATGTCGTGTGGATTTCTAGGAAAAGTAGTCAGTGACGCAATGGATGCGACTTGACTTTGCTGTGGAACTGTGACTTCAGCCTATTGGAAAGCTGTTTGCTTTTATTTTTATTAATCAAATAAAATTAATCCACACTATTTATACAGAAACCAAAAATCTTGATGTCAACATAAGAAGCTCACTATAATTTATATCTATTTAGTAGTTGTTCTGGAGCTTTCAATCATATCACATGATCATCCAAGCTCAAGAATTCTCTCGGTCTAAAATTTTATGTCATGGAGAAAAGTTACTAATATGCTTTGAATATATGAAAATTTAAACACCTTCAATTTTAAAATTAAATTTAACCATGGGCAACTCTATCTACTGAGGAAAATAGTGATGAGTTCAACTAAAATAGACCTTGTTTTATCACCTGCTGTTGTCCAAGGTTAAGAATCTTCAGTCTTAACCTCCATGTCATTTTTTTATGTAACACTACAAGGACAAAAGTATATGGACAACCAAACCGGCGGCATTTTTTCTCTCATTCAGCCACAAGAGCATTAATGAGGCCCAACATTATTATTGGGCAAAAAGGCCTGGCTCAGCCTTTGAGGTTATTTCATCCCAAAGGTCAGGCCTCTGAACTGGACAGTAAATTTCATACACACCAAACTGGGGAAACATTATTTTAGGGACCTGGCTTTGTGCACAGGGGCAATGTTATGTTGAAAGAAAAAACCTTTACCAGTTGCTACAAAACTGGAAATAGACTAGACAAAATAATAAAAGTTGTCCTAGACCTGTGTCCGCATTTTGGCCATATGACGTATGATGTGAAATCATGCTACATATCTCTGAAATAAACCAATTTTCTGTAAATTAAAAGTCACATCTCCAACCATCTTACACTGTGACACTGTATACACAGCACCATTCCTACCTGCTTATTCACAGCCATCATTTGTTGTCACTCTTTTGTGTTTTGTCTTTTTCTCCCCACTGGGTGGTGCAGTTCATTTGTGCAGAAGGGCACCAACATCATCTTCAAAGACATGATGAAGATGACAGTGCAGCAGTGGGAGGCTCAGCACAGCCACAGGGAGGCGGCTGAGCTCCCGCGGAGATACAGCGCAGACACTCTCAGTAAGTTTCGACAAGACGCCCTTCAGCATTGTCATGGATACCACCAGCAATCACGTAACATTCTGGTACAGCTACAGGTGGAGGGAGAAAGGGTGGGGACGGGAAGAGACAGACACTTTGGGAAAGAAAGGCAGGCAGACATTCAGACAGAGCTGAGGAGGGATAAACAGGAAAGGACAAAGATGGTGAGATGTGAGGAGTCCTACAGAGAGACAATGGATAGGGGGGATAAAGACATAGGCTAAATGGGGATGAGAGAAAGGACAGAGAGAAGGTCACATGATGAAGAGAAAAAGAAAGAAAATGATAAAGGCAGGAAGAGGAAGAAAGGAGAGGGAGCTTAACATGGATTGGGAAAGAGACAACTGTAAAGGAAAGGAAGGGTCAGGTATGCAGGGTGGAGGACATAAAATCAGGGGCAAGTCTGGTTGTCTCTGTTTCGGTTAGTGTCTCAATCAATCACGTATCACTTTGGTGCAAGGTTATAAAACAAGATAACAAAAAAGGAGGCACTCAAAAAAAAAAAAGAAAATGACCGAGCAGATTTCAGCCAAGGTAGTTAAAAATGGAGACAGCAAGGAAAGACGGACAGATAGATGAAGATGGGAAAACAAGGAGATGTACATGGATAAATGAGAGGCTTTTGAGAGAAGTGGAGAGAGAGGGACAAAGAGAGATGGACAGCGATTAGGGGGTGAACAAAACAAAAAGGCAGGGGAAGAGAAATGGGGGAGCTGAAATTCACAAAAAGGAGACAGAACAGTAATAAAGGGTAAAGAGAATGAGACAAAGAAGACAAAAGCCTGAGATTGCTGATGCATACATGTTTGTATGCACAATATGTTTGATGTTTTCTAAGTGCCACTAGCAAAGCTCCCGTCAGACTCTCATCAGTGTTGCTATGGTTTTAGTGGCCATGCAGCTTTTCTCTGTCAGAAAGCCACAAACAGTGGCATTTTGGATTAGACCTCTTTATGAAAACATAAAGAACCCACACTAACAATTAAAATAAAATCATAGTTAAGGATTATGTTGAAATAAGGCACACTTTATTAAGCAAAAACTAGATTACAAAAGGTCCATGCCTTACATAACAGAGGTGTGTGTGTGGGCCCTTGGGTTATAGTTAGCATTAAATGACTATCCTCTCCTAGAACTGGACTCTTCAGCTAGCCAGCATACAGATAGCGGGCCCTCAAGCAAAAGCAACTGATTGACCCTTGCAAGACGGCTGCAAACAGAGGGGTAATGACACGTGTTGATGAAAAAATAAACACCCACCTCGGCCATGAGAGTGAAATGCTTCCCTGAGGTTAGCATTTGAGAGCGTTGAATCATCATAAGCACATCGTGAAATGTGTTTATTGCCTGCAATTAACTTATTGCTGTGCTCTGATTAAGTAAAGCACCTAAAAAAGAAAATAAATGTGACATTTGGTGGACTTTAAAAGTTTAAACAGATAAAAATGTTTGTATTGTGTCTGTAAAATGACACTTCCTCGCTCTTATCAAATCAGTACAGATAGAATGTCTCCTTCAGCTGCAATAATAGTCACAAGAGATGCCAAACTGGACTGAAAATAAACTGTCAGTGGATGAACAATAAAGCTAACTATTAGTTTTTAAATCTCAGCCTTCACCTGTTATAACCATTGTATTTTCCACCCCATTAAGCGCACTATTACTTTGGTCAGGAAATGGAGTGTTTAAAAAAAAAGAGAATGTCATGCCGTCAATAAAATGATTTTGAAAATGGGTTCTCACTATCAACAACATAAATTTAACTTGCAATTCTCTAAGGTGTTTGACCCCCAAAAACTGTTGAGCCGTGACTCTTTCTAATAGAATGAAGCTAATGGATGAATTGCTAGTTTCAGCTACTTAAGATGCTACTGGATCAGAAATTGTATTTTATGCTAGTTTCTCCCTCAAAAGGGAAAGAAAATGTGAATTTCACAAAAATAATCACACGTTAGGATTTAGATTACAATTACATTCTTGGAGGGCAAATATAAAGTCTCACAAATACTGTATTTGGCAAAGTGGTCTCATATCACCTTCAGTGGACAGATAGCAGTAGCAGAGACATCAGTCATGAGAAAGAGGGGATATAAATAATAAAATGAAGAGTTCAACCTAATATTTTAAAGTTACAGTGCGTTTTAAAGTGGCTATAATAAATATTTTTCTAATAGCAACATGACTACTGGCAATTATCACACACTGGTAGCAGCCTGCAGTGCAGAGCTTTATGGAGCACACTGGTGCCCATCAGCTCTTCGTTTTAGTTTTACATGCCTTTAGCCTCCCTGCTCTCATAGTCACAGGTCAGTCACAGATTTTAACAAAAAGTTCTGAAAACCCAGTGTACATTATTGTCACCACCAAGACTGTTGCGCACACATGCATTAGTCAGTTGTGTTTAGGTGCACTAACAGAGTACAGAAATGAAGT